TTATTATTTTAATAATATTATTATATTCTATATTATAATTATATAATATATTATATAATAATAGTTTTTTTATTATGTTAAATATAATAATAAATATATATTATATTTTAATTATATATATTATAGTATAATATAATATAGTCATAATTTTTAACTATACACAGCAATTCAACCTCATAATTTACCAAACGTTATTACACTGATTTTAGAACCAGCACAACTATTATAATTATAGTTTACCAAACACTCATTTACTTTTTTTTCATCACAGCTAAAATCAATTTTTCTAAAATCTACAGCAATATCAAACTAAGTCACAATCTCCTTAGAAAATAGAGTTATGCTATGATTGATAGGATCAAAGAAATAAAGTATTTGTCTTTTAAAAAATTTTTTTTTATCTTTTTGCATTTGGGGTCCCAAGCTTTTTGATCTTTAGTACTTTAGTTCCTACTTTAAAAATTTGGCCAACTGGATCTCCAAACTCCCGTAAGCGTAGGCTCCATTTGGTTTATAGGTTTAAGTCTGTGATTTTGAATTTAAATTTTGTGAGAGAAACTATTGATGATAATTTTTTTTTATTTAAATTTTTTATGAGATAGCAAAATAAGAATAATAAGATTACGTCAGTGAACCAAAAGGCCCTTATTGTCTCTGACACTGATTTTTTTTTTTTCTTTCTGCAAATTACGGTGGTAATTTAATTATGAGGAGGTATATGATGATCTAGTAAAGTACTCAATCATTAAGGTTTTGTCTGATAAATAAGAGAAAAAAAATTGGAAGGAGAAATAGGTAAATAACTTGGTTAATGACATGAAGAGTAAAAAGAGAGAATACGCTCTTGTGAATTTTTATATAAGAGGAAGAGAATCTCCTCTAATTTGTCTAAATTTAAAGGATAAAAATCTCACGAATTTCTTTTCCTCATAATTCATCCCACTAAATAATTATAAATCTAATATATCAAACATTATTCTTTTCACACTTATCCTTCAAAATCTTAACTTTTGTTTTACTATTAGGGAGATTCTCTAGTACACCTGACATACTGATATATTATATTTTTTTAATCATTAAATTTGCATATTTTTTAATTTTTACGTGATTTTATGTAGATTTAACAAACAGAAAACTTGACATATTAATATATTAGCAATATGTTGGCGTATCAGATAAGTTTCCTTACTATTAATAACTATGCAAAGTTCAAAAAGAAAAGGTCTATTGCGTAGCACAGTTGATTTTAACCTATAATATAATATAACATATGTTGCCTGCTATATAATCACACGGAGTACTGAAGCAGACAATATTCAATCCAAATGAATATGATCACCATAATAAAATTTGGTTTTGGTAATATTTGTCGCTGCTACAGCTGGACATTACTTTATACTTAAAACTAATTTAATAAAAACAATGGAAGCTTTACAATGATTGGAGAGTAAGCAATGCCGGGGTTAATTTGGCTGTAGTTGATTGTCTTTCAAAGAAAATCAAAGGGCATGCATAAATAATTAAATGTACATTTAAAAAAATTTTAAATTTACATTAAATGTTTTCGTAATAAAATGGAAAATTTAACCCTGGGTATTTTCTTTTCCGGTATTTTTCACATTTTATTTTTAAAGTTGGGAGATGGCCCTTATTGTTAAAAGAGAACAGTTTGCAAATTTAGCAGAAAAAAAAGGAAAATAGTAGGAAATAGGCCGATATGAAAAGCTTAAGAAAGTATATAAGCTAATTTTTAGTTATAGAAATTAATATGCCATAACTTGTCAAGTTATGGTTCATAACCAGATAAGTTATGGATAATAACTTGTCAAGTTATAGTTCATAACCAGACAAGTTATAGACGAAAACAGTAATTTGACATGTTTATTAACTTATGTAAACTATTGGCCTATTAATTTTAATTCATCTTAAGTTTTGGCCTATTTTCCTCTTTCTCAGAGACGAATCAATGAAATTTCCAAATTGATTCCAACCACCTTTTTCTTTTTCTTTCTCTTCTGATCTGAAAATCCAATTCCCATTAATTACCATATAAATCAATATCATGACAGCCAAAAGTCTATAAATACACACACGCGTAACACGCGTATAAAAACGTGTTTATTCTATATGTATATTTGTTCATATATATATATATGTATGTATATATTGAAGGTTAATGGAGAAAAGCAAGCTGCCAAAGAGATAAGGTTATTGTAAACACCAGGACGACAAAAACGACCAAGCTCATAGCAATTGCGGGCATATACGTACGTATATGATGCAGGTATCTGTTTGTATATATATGTAGTAACAACAAATATAAATCATATATACATAATACTTAAATATAATTGTAGCCGGGCCTATTGATTGTAATATCAGAGCCATAGCTAGGGAACTTTGTAATAATCGACTGCTAGTAATATATATAATTTTGTCTGAGGCACTCTGCAGGCGCTGCAAGTATAATATGGAATATCATCAGTTTCTTTTCTAGGTCGAACCTAATTCTAATTTTGTTATACTAATTATTCTCTACAAGGAGTGATAATTCTTCTTTAATTAAGAATCGATAACGCAATTATTCATCACTTATGGCTGTAAGTATCAATTAATTAGTAGTGTTCTCTATATATGATCACGAGGAATATATATAATTCGATGCTTCTTGGTTATATGTTGTTAATTGGCTAGCGTTATCGCTTTAACAGTTTTTTGTTTTTTCAATTTATTGCTCATATTGTTTAGTTTTTGGGATTCAATTCGTATTATCATACTCATATTATACCAAATTTCTTTTTTCTTCAAAAAGAATAAAACCCTAATTGAAACTCGGCCTGTTTCAATTGCTTTGCTGCAGAACTCCCATGTCCCAAAGTTCGGCAACTGGGAAAACGAGGACATACCATACACAGCCTACTTTGAAAACGCGCGCAAGGACAAACCCGTCGGCAACGTTAAGATCAACCCAAACGACCCTGAGGAGAATCCAGAGGCCTTCATGATGATGATGATGATGCAGAGAAGGGGATCATCGCGTTCTCAAGAAGGCAACATTTCCTCTCATCATAATCCCGATTCATCCGTCCTTCCGACGGCGGCAGTGCAGCCTCCTCGCCGCCTCATGAAGAGTGCTAGTGCCGAAAAATCGCGCCACGCCGAGCACCGCGCACATCACAGAAACGGTATTGCTGATACCAACACTAATTATAGCAGTACTAATACTACTCTCGGCAATAATCACAAGAGCCCCGCGTCGGAATCTGGTAGCGATCAAAAGACCAGTTCCGATAATTCGCTCTTGAATCGTCCTAATCAAGGGCGTTATGTAAGATCTGATGATTATAAGAAGAAGACGAGTACTACTTCTTCGGGTCGAGGGAGTGATAGTTCTAGCTCGGCTTCAGAACAAGGGCACCATAGAAGACAGAGAAGTAGCAGTACTAATCACTCTTCTGATCACCAACAACATGTGAGTAATTTCTAGCTGTAAGGACGTTAATTTGTTTTTTCTGTACGTACATTTGCTTACTATTATTTTTTTAAAAAGATTAAGAGATGAACCAATGAATTATAGTTTCACGTTTCTGAGATAACCAATTACAATATGTGCGAATATAGAATTACGTGTGGGCATTTAGTATTATAAGCTTGAATGTATAAAAGCCATGTATATATATATATATATAATTAAATTGGAGGAGTTTGCAAACTTTGCCATGTATAAAAGCCTTGTATATAATATAGTAGCCCACTGTTTGGCAAACTTTTCTCAGTTATAAGACTTTGTTTGGTTAGATTGTATATGTATGACTATATACAATATTATACATATATTTATTCGTTTTGTGAATGGGTACATAAATAAGCAGCATCACAGGGCAGCATCAATACCTGAATTTGGGTCATGGGATGTAAATGATCCAAAAGCTGGAGAAGGGTTCACTGTAATTTTTAATAAAATGAAAGAAGAAAAGCAAAACTATGGAGCTATCGAGGTCCCAACTATGCCGCCCCCACGGCCACCAACCAATCACCTGAAAGATCGGAGCAAGCGTTCTTGCGTGTCAAAGGTAGGTTGTACATATATGTAGTGCTTAAACACCCTCCCAAACCCAATTTCATATTATCACTTTTTGCTTCCGTTTATTGGAAAAATATCGGGCCCGTTTAATTCGCTGATTCGAGTTTATATGTGATTTTATGTGAAAATTTTTTACTGTAATAAAAAAATTAGATGTGACTGTTTCTGAGAGTTTTTTACTGTAATAAAACTCAAATTTTAAACTTAAATCGGTGAAATGAACGAGTCATAATAATAGAACTTACTTAATTTGACTTTCCACTTGTTCAACTAATGATATATGAGATATGTATTATTCCTTGTCATAATAATATTGCAGATATGTTGCTGTATGTCTTCAAGTGGAAGCGAATGATAAACTCAGCTTTTGATCTTGTTATTATAATTTTTATGCCAGCTTATTGTATTTGCCTTTTCTCGTTTTTTTTTTTTTTAAGAGAGAAACTGTATTTGCAATTCTTATAAGCGAATATTATAGACTTTACTTGTTTTGGTTGTTGCATAGTGGAAGTTTTATCATTTTTTAATTATAATGGATCACCTGAAGTCCTGAACACATTTGTAACAATATTGGACACCATTACTAATGGATTATAATGGATTCAGGACACCATAACAATATTGAACACATTTGTAACACATTTTTTAATTATAATGGATTCAGGACACCATTATTAAATTGCAACAATATTGGACTAAACTTTATGTATCGAAAAAAAAAAAAATATATATATATATATATATATTGGAGTACTAGACCAACAATATCCACAGTTTTAGAAATCATTGAATGTTGTCACATAATTATAAGTATTAATAGTACTACTGCCATATTATTTTTCTCATTTACATATATGTTAGTTTGTTCTTTAGACACGTGGCCAAACATTGAATTGATATGGGTGGGTTCCACTTTCCGCGTTGGCACACAGCTTTGGCGCTTGATTTCAAAGTTAAAACGCGAGCAATCATATTCAAGAAAAAAAAAAAAAAAAGATTGGCTAGTAATTATTAAGACCCCGTTTATTTTATCGATTTGAGTTTAAAATTTAAGTTTTATTACAGTAAAAAACTCAAAAATAGTCATATTTAAGTTTTTTACTACAGTAAAAAACTCTCACATAAAAATGCATCTCAACTCAAATTAAAAACTCGAATCAGCGAACTAAACGAACCCTAAATACTAATAAAAAGATTATAAATATTTGCTAATAAAAAAATTATAGAAAATAACTCATAGTCCAAGTATAGTTTCGAGTATTTCTTAAAAAAAAAAAACACATGTTTAAGTAAATAAGTTCCCAATGTAATTACATGGACCTCGTTTCAACAGACACCTCCCCATTTTATTCAAAAAATAAAAAATAAAAAATAATCCTCCATATTCTAATTTTCAAGGCAATTTTTGTTACGTGTCGTGTTTTGATCGTTTCTTTTTAAATTTACAATCAACCTGAACACGACCTGTGACACGAAATTTTTTAAAACTCGTAACACGAACACGACACGATCACTTTACAGGTTGACACGACACGGCACGAAAATAATTTGTGACACGAAATTGACCCGTAAACTCGAAATTAACACGAAAATTGTATACTTTTATTTAGTTTTTTACATATTAGAAATAACTTAAAATTCATCACATACTAAAATACAATAACATCTATTGAAATTAAGTAAATAATAGTATAAGATTTTGAGTATAACTATGATGATATCACAAGTTCATAATAAAATTAAAAATATGTAATGAAAAATATATGTATTTTTTAATTTTTTTATAAATTTTGTGTCGTGTTCAAATTAAACGGGTTCAATATAAAATTAATTCATATTTTTCGTGTCAATTTCAAATCGATTCAATTTTAACATAAATATTTTTTTTTTCAAATTTAATTCACAAAATTTTTATCGTTTTCAAATCGTGCGTAGCAAAAACCAATTATAATCACTTCAACATCAATTGAATTCAAAATATTAACGTCCCTGTGGAGCCCTGCTCTCAATCACCGCCAACTTGAAATGACATCAACAGACGACGTGGTTTTAACTTTTAAACCTTTTCCTTGTAAGTAGCACTAATTCCCTTGACAATATAACGTTCGTTTAAAGCGCCAAAACTGTTATAAAAGAGGGTTAAAACTTAAATCCTACTCCGAAATCCGGTTTTGACGCAGATTTTCTTCATTTCAAGTTTCAAATTTCAATCTCTTCTTCCTTGAGATTGAGATTCTGTTAAAGTCTCTCATGGAGATTGGATCTGGTCCGATCGGGCCGTGCACTAAAGAGCACCAGAAGATGTATCAGGAGTGGTTCAACTTGGCCGATTCAGGTTTCTTTCAATCTTCACTCATTTCTCAATCTTTGTTCATTATCAGATAATATTCGCATTTCCTTTTTACTTAATCACGAAATTGATCGTGATTTGTGTAATTTTGCTTTGGTTTTAGATGGAGATGGCCGTATTACCGGCAACGATGCGACGAAGTTCTTCGCCATGTCTAAGCTTTCTCGGCAGGAACTCAAGCAGGTAATTGAGGTTTTTCGCTGTTTCAAGATGCTATACAAAAATGACTTTGTTTTTACCTTTTTCTATTGCTGTTTATGCAGTTTATTTTACTTGTTTTTCTATTTTAGGCATTTTATTGCGGGTTCATTGGTTGCGGCGTCTTATGATTGGGTCTAACTTGATTTCGTTACTCGAGAAAAAAAAAAAAAGGGATCTCACTTGATTTCACATAAGAAATTTCATTGTTTGAACTCGTAGGGATGGTAATTTTTTACGGGGAGGGTCAAGTATTTACATTCGTGTATATTTTTATCATTAAGACCAAAAAAGTATGTTTGGTAAATTATTAAAAAAAAAATTTAATGAATTATGCTTTGGTCTTTTGGTGCTTGTTGACTTATCAGAACACGACTAAGAAGGGCCTAATAATTTACTCAAGCAATTTTGGGCACAAAATTATCTTGGTTTATCGAATTCATACTCCTGTCTCATTCGCATGATTATTTCCATGCATGTAACGGTTCATGTGTGGAGTTCTTGAGCTCTTGTTCAAGTATTCCGGCTGTTTGAAAGTTATTTTGGCTTAGTTTGCTGTATAATGTATTTCACTTGTTATACTTTGAGATTGACATTGCTTTTGCTTATTTGACTTCAAAGGTTTGGGCAATTGCAGACTCAAAAAGGCAAGGATTTTTAGGTCTTACTGAGTTTATTACTGCAATGCAGGTAAAGTTTTTTTTTTTTTTCCCCCTTAAAACAATGTTTTGGAGACCATATTAAGTACATTCTGTAAGTCTTTTTTTTGCTTCAATTTTTGTTCTGAACAGCTTGTTTCCTTAGCACAAGCAGGCCATGAATTAACTCCAGAGATACATAAAATTGCAGGTGATTAGTTATTTATGTTGAATATGACTTCTGCAGTGTCTCCACAGAAACTAGTGAAAACATATGTTTATTGATCTGTGGATCATTATCTCTCTCAATGTGTTGGCCATGTGGTAAGGCTTCAATCCTCAAGGCTTGTGGAGCATAAACCTCAAGAAATACATATAAAATATAAAATTTTACCAATGACAAGTGTCGGGATCGGTTGTGGGGCAGAGATCGAGACTCATAAAATTTACAACTAAAGAAAGAATGTGAAAAACTTGTGATAAAGGATCTAGTTACCTACTACATAAAATGTAAAATGAGAAAAAATAAAATAAAATGAGAGCTGCCAAACCTTTTGTTAGGGCTAATGTGACTGAGTTCATTAATTTGTATTCAAACCAAGCAAAGGGAAGAAAGGACGACCTCACTTTTGGATCATATGAATGCTCTTTCCTCTATTTTTAACTGCTTGTTCCAACTTGGGTTGTTGCATTACGTAGGAATGGCTTAGAATATATTTCAGTTTTGATCCTTCTCATCGCATTTTCTTATTGAAGCTAGCAAAGAGGACATTCAACCCCCAACAATAGAAGGTTTGGACACCTTGATAGCTGTAAGCAGTTTGCCTTTCTTACCGTGTATTTCTAGATGAAACTGTTAATATAATTGTTGATTTTCTTAGTGTCACTGATAATGATTTTTTATTTACAGAAAACCAAGGCCCTATCAACATATAGCCAGCCAGAATCAAATGGTTAGAAAGGATTCTTTTTACTATTGAGGTTATTTGCTTCAATTTATTATTAAGTTGGTTTATGTGTAATGTAGGGATTGCTCAGCCTCAACCATCAACTCAATGGTTTCCTTCAAAATCTGTGAAAAAAGTAAGATTCCTTCTTTCATTGTGCCACTAAAGATATCTTTCTGCTTGAAATTAAGTTTCCCATTTTGTATTTCTTAAAGCATGCCATATTCATGTCTAAAGATGGATAATTAGTTCAGTTTTTTGCATTTCGAATCTACTTTTAGTGGTTAATTCATTGGATGTTTTGCCTTGATGAAGTTCTTGTTGTGAACAAAGAAGCCCCTTTAATTTGGTTGGGATTTCTTGTTCATAAATTTTTTTTTTTTCAATGAGTTACAATGCGTGTCCAATGAGGAAAGTATATGTAGTTATCTACAAAGTTTAGGATATTGGCTACTAAAGAAGTTTTGAACACGAGGAAAAGGAGAAGTTTTTTGACATAAAACTGGAGACAATGGGGAGGTTGTTGCTTGTGTGGACGAAAGAATTGAAGAGTAATAATATAATAATAACAATAATAAATTTACATTAACGAAGCATTTTTTTTTAATTTGTATTTCAATTAAGCTACAAGTCTTCTTATCTTTCTCTTTTGATTTTTAGTTGCCTCTTAATGCTGTTACATCCATAATTGATGGCCTGAAAAGGTTATACATGGAAAAGCTAAAGCCGCTGGAAGTTACCTATCGTTTTAATGATTTTTCAACTCCTTCACTGGTAAGTCAACTTATATAATTTGGATTTATTAGCGTTGGATGTTAATCTGGATATTTATTTCCTTACCTATTAAGAATTTGCATTTCTTAGTATTAAGTATTTAATTTGTGTTGTGCGCAACGGAAACTAAATTTAGGTTTTACGACAAAATAAAACAAAAAAACAAGGATTTACGTGGTTTAGCTGTTAGCATATGGGCGAAGAAATTCCACTATATATAAGACCACAAAAGATAAAGGTCCTACTCCATAACCAAAGTGGGACTCAACTAAGTAAAAGCCAAAATCCAACAATTTGGATATTCATTTCTTTGCATATAAAGAAGGATTTCCTTTTCAGAACCAAGTATTTAGGCATTGACTACTAATATCATATGTTTTGTATGGGTTCAAGTCCATTTTATAACTTTACTCATTGATTTGCCTTTGCAGACCAATAGTGACTTTGATGCAAAACCAATGGTCATGCTTTTGGGTCAATATTCGACTGGGAAAACAACATTCATAAAGCACTTGTTAAGATGTAACTATCCAGGTTGGTTAAGTGCTTTCGTCGCCTCTCTTCTGTTTTCAAGTTTTGAAAATATGAGTTGCTTATAACAATAGTGTGTATGGATTTTTCTTTTTCATTTTTTTGTAACAGGAGCTCATATAGGACCAGAGCCCACTACAGATAGATTCGTTGTTGTAATGGTATGATAAGCAATCATCCTCATTTGTTAATAGATGATAAATGTTTCTCTAAATGAGAATCATGTTTAGCAAACGAAAAGTTAAAACCTCTTGGATGTCGCTCATATTGCTTAGTAGACATTCACCACTTCAATTGTGTTACAACACTACCACTATGTTTGGTAGGAGGGAGGGATGGAGGGAGGGGTAGAGAGAGTCCCAATCCATTGTTTGGTTGGAGGGAGAGGAGGAAGGGGAGGAAAGATGGAGGGATGTGGTCTCCCTCATGGCCCCCCAAATTGGATCCTTCCATCAATGGAAGAATCTAAACAATCCATCATTTTTTAGCTTTAAAAGATTGTTTTTTTACCCTTTAAATAAATTATTAGAAAATAGTTTAAATAGACAATATAGTAATTTAACAAATAAGCATCATCCATCCTTTCACCTATCAGTCCATCCTATCAAACAACATGAAAGATAACTAAAATCTTCTCCATCTTTCATACAAGACAAAGAAGATTTATAAAATAAACATTAGTAGTTATATGTGGAAGTTCTTTTTTTTTTTTTTTTTGATAATTAGTTATATGTGGAAGTTGTTTGAAAAAATTAGCTGCAAGTTTTAATTGGAAGAGCTATTTGTTTCTCATTTTTCTTTTACAATTACTACTTCTGCAATAGATATTTCTAGTAATTGCATTGTCTGATGGATTTCTTTGTCCAGTCTGGACCTGATGAGAGAAGTATTCCTGGAAATACTATAGCTGTTCAAGCTGATATGCCTTTTAGTGGTTTGACAACTTTTGGAGGGGCATTCTTATCAAAATTTCAGTGCTCCCAAATGCCACATCCTGTGAGTTTGAATTTCTCATCTTGTACAAATTATATATGATAGTTTATTTATTGTCATTTTCATTATTCTTCTTCATTCTAATCTTTTTCTTTCATACTTGAAGTTGCTTGATGAAATTACATTTGTGGATACTCCTGGTGTACTATCTGGAGAAAAACAACGAACGCAGAGAAGCTATGATTTCACTGGTGTTATTTCGTGGTTTGCTGCGAAATGTGATCTCATTCTTCTTCTGTTTGATCCTCATAAACTTGATATTAGTGATGAATTTAAGCGGGTAATTTCATCTCTACGTGGTCACGATGACAAGATCCGAGTGGTTCTAAACAAAGCAGACCAAGTCGATACCCAACAGGTAATTGTGCACCTAGTTTATTATATAGTCCCCTTTGTCACAAATTTGCCTCTTTAACTTTTGTTGATAAATTTTTCTTTTACTGATTTTAGCTGATGAGAGTATATGGAGCATTGATGTGGTCACTTGGAAAAGTTCTTAATACTCCAGAGGTCGTGCGTGTTTATATTGGGTAGGCTCTCTTCGTCCTGATAATTTTATCCGGTACCTATTTTGTGATTGGACTTCAATCTTTTATCTAAATTTGCTCTTTTCTTCTTTTTGTAGTTCGTTCAATGACAAGCCGATCAACGAGGCAGCTGTAGGCCCTATTGGTCTGGATCTCTTTGAGAAAGAACAAGATGATCTCCTTGCTGACTTGGTCGACATTCCAAAGAAGGCTTGCGATCGTAGGGTATGACCATATTTTTCTGTTAAATTTGGTTACTTATGTCAGTGCTTTGTACGCTTTGTTGTTTAAATTCGTAAAGCTTATATAAAGCTAATGATTGTATCATACAGATCAATGAATTTGTAAAACGTGCCAGAGCTGCTAAGATACACGCCTACATAATTAGCCATCTTAAGAAAGAGATGCCTGCAATGATGGGTAAAGCCAAGACGCAACAGCGACTTATTGATAATCTAGAAGAAGAATTCGCAAAGGTATGGCGTGTTTGGAACTCGTTCTAAAAAAAATTTATTTTTTGTATGAAAATGTTTTCATTCTCAAACAGAAATCATTTTTGAAAATGTGTTTGGCAATTTTATCAAGAGATTGTTTTCAGTATAAAAAAATTCATTAATGTCTCTCTTTCTTTCTCTCTCCTCAAGAGAGGAGAAAACGAAAACAAAAAATGAAAAACGACTAAAAGTCGTTTTTCATTTATCTCTCATTTTACACTAAACTAAAATATCGTTTTCATTTCTGTTTTTTATTTTTATTGCATTAAACGATGTTTTGAAAAAATTTTCATTTTTTCTTTCTTGAAAAACGTAAAAAATAAAAACATGATCAATTCTAAACTGTATCTTTCTCTACTTTTTTAAGTATGAAATAAAACACTTGTATAATTAACTCTTTAAACTTTTGCCAAATAGGTGCAAAGAGAGTTCCATCTACCAGCTGGTGATTTTCCAAACGTGGAGCACTTTAGGGAGGTCTTGAATGGTTACAGCATTGATAAGTTCGAGAAGTTGAAGCCTAAGCTAATTCAAACTGTGGATGATATGCTCGGTTATGAAATCCCAGAACTCTTGAAGAATTTCAGAAATCCATATGATTAAGATTGTTGTTAGCATATCCTGTCATACTTATGAGCCAATTTGTATGTTCATTTGAGTAAATTGTCATGAATAATTTCAGAACAACCTTTACATTTCAATATTGATGTTGTTGGTACTTTGTTGTATTTTTGCTAAGAACTTCTATTCAATCTGTTTGTTTTTTTTGTTTTTGTTTTTTCCCTTTCTGAGACTTGGCAATGGGATATGTCGATAAAGATGGTTTGGACAAGATGTATTTAAGTACTAGCCCCTTGATCACAGTTTCATATGCATTTTAGGTGTGGCCGTAAAAATAGTGATATTAGGATCCGTTAAGTTCGTTGATTCGAGTTGAGATGTAATTTTATGTGAGAATTTTTTATTGTAGTAAAAAAATTAAATGTGATTGTTTTTAAAAAATTTTTACTGTAATAAAATTTAAATTCTAAACTCGAATTAGTAAAATGAACGGAACATTAGTTTAGAGTAGTTAAATTTATTGTTATTATTTACAATATTAATGTTGTGTTAAATAAAAAGACATTATTTTTCTTATTTTTTAAATGTTGTGAGGGAAGTATGGTCCTCGGGTTCTATAAGAATAGTTTATATATTTATATCGTTTTTTATTTTTTTTTAAACCCAATAATATGGTCCCTCTTTACGTAGCTGGCTGTCCTATCCAAGTCTGATTTAACAAGGACGTATTTCTGTTTGGTTCCGAGAAAAACCACCCAAGATAATTTTCTCGTCTGTTCGTGAAATCTGGAGCTTAACAAAGAAAAAGAATGGAGAAATCTAAGATTGGAAAGAGATTCGAAGGGAAGGTGGCAATCGTGACGGCTTCGACTCAGGGAATCGGCTTCAGCATCGCAGAGCGTCTCGGCTTGGAAGGTGCCTCTGTTGTGATCTCCTCTCGCAAGCAGGTTTCTCTGCCGTACAATACAACTCGAATTCCCTCTTGTTTTCTCTTAGAGAATTTTGAAATGGTTTTAATTTGAGTTCTGTTTGTCAAGTCGAATTCGATCTCTTCCGCTACTTTTATGCTTGGCTGCTGAGAAAATATGGTGGAAAACGAAAATGAATCTCCTTTAGCTTAACCATGTAACAAGTTTTTATCTTCATCTTTAACCTGGATTAGTACTTGGTTAGGTTACTGAAAGTTATGCAAAATGCTATAGCAAAAACGAATTTAGTTGAAAGCCCATGAATTTAGCCGAAATAGTTGAATTGGGAATGGTTTAGTGGAGATTATTGGTTCATGTGGATCAGAAGAAAGAACTGAGTACGCAAATAATTGTATCTTAAATATTTTTTTCCTATTAGGATAATTATTATGTTGCCTTTTGATGAAATTGTTCCAGAAAAATGTGGATGAGGCAGTTGAAAAGCTTAGGGAGAAGGGAATTGAAGTGTTGGGGCTTGCTTGTCATGTGTCAAACGCACAACAAAGGAAGAATCTTATTGACAAGACTGTGGAGGTGAGAATTCAGATCATTTGTATCCTTGTTGTTTGCTGTCTATTACTCAAGATAACTAATCATAGTTCATGGTGTATTTTTGGGCCTTTTTGAGGGTTTCCTTTTGAGAATCTGTTTGTGTGTTAGCTGTATTAAATGATCGGAGCTTACTGGTTCTCTGGCAGAAATATGGAAAGATAGATGTGGTGGTATCCAACGCTGCCGCCAATCCGTCCGTCGATTCTATTTTGGAAACCCAAGATTCTGTCCTTGACAAGCTTTGGGAGATAAATGTCAAAGCTTCTATACTTATTGTAAAGGTAAATAGTAGGAAATGAGCCTAGATAACCTTTGCTGTTTTTGGGATGGATTTCCTCTGTGATATGCATTAATTGGTAGCCTAGAAAACATTTTTCGTTAATTCTGAATGTCTTCTCTGGACAAGCTACTTAAGCTGAAATTTAAAGTGTAATTTGTCTAGTCTGGTTCAACGTGATTACATTAACAGGATGCTGCTCCTCACTTGACAAAGGGTTCTTCGATTGTTTTAATTTCCTCTGTTGCTGGTTTCCACCCACAAGCTGCCATGGCGATGTATGGTGTGACTAAAACTGCCCTTCTGGGGCTTACCAAGGTAAAATGCTTGGTTCAAATATCCTACATTAGTAAACTGTTTATTTCTTTAAGAACTTCATAGACTGCATGCATATTGTTCTTGCTCATCTTTTCTAATCTTCCTCTAGGCCCTTGCTGCTGAGATGGCCCCGAATACCCGTGTAAATTGTGTTGCTCCTGGTTTTGTGCCAACGCATTTTGCCGATTTCATCACAAAAGATGAAGCCACCGTAAGTAAATTTGTAGTCCCAGTTGGGGTATTTAACTTCACAATAAAAGTCTGCTGACTTCTATTTATTATTTTGTAGAGGAGGAGAATTGAAGACAAGACTCTACTTAACAGGCTTGGTACCACTGAAGACATGGCTTCTGCTACTGCGTTTTTGGCGTCTGATGATGCATCTTACATAACTGGAGAAACTCTAGTCGTGGCTGGAGGGATGCCCTCTAGACTCTGATTCCCCTCCTTTTTCTATATCATTTCATCCCACGAAGTTATAATGTTAGAATTCGTGGAGTAAAATAAACCTTGATTTCGAGGTTACTGATATCGATAAAGTTCACAGTTAGCAATTTTCTTCGACAAAATTCTATAAGGAAAACGCAGTGACACGACACACATGTAACATTGTGCTTCAGTTTATTGTAATATGCAAGGTTTTAGTACACATACTTTTCTTCAATTGTCTTTCATTTCGTTTATTTCTGCCCACACAACGCCTTCTTGCGCTATGTTAATGCAGAGGCTAAAACCTTCCAAGGCAGGTACTGGTTTTGCCCGGGAACTTCGCTTCGGCTTCGGAGCCTTCCTTTTGGCACTCACCCGTCACCGGTAAAACTCCATATTCAAGTAAATTTGGCGAACACATTGTCATGGACCTACATGGTGTTGCTTCACTACGCTGTGCCTCTCGAATTACATAGGACTATTTTCTTTCATCCAGAAAAAGAAAAAAAAATTGTTATAATTAAGGATTGGATTGAACATTCTTCTTATGAATTAACTTATAAGCTTTACAATGGATCATTTCGGTGATATTAAGGTTGTCTTGGATTCGCTTGTCTCGTCAGAGAGAATGGACGATCAGTTGTGGATTTGGCTTACGTTTTCTGTTCCTGCACTACAATTACTAAGACTGTTTTCTTTCTTTCCTTTTATTTTCTATTTTTTAAAAAAATAATAATAATAATAACAACGACGGCACCGTATGGGAACCACAATAGTTATTAGATAAGAGGAAAAATAATTGAAGAAACGACAGTGTACATGTAACGGCTAGATCCAAAAAATGGCACCAAAATAGGAACTACGATAATATAAACGACAAGTGTTATTAAAATTCGAGAAGCAAAAAAGGACTAAATACATCAAGAAGATAAACGGTGATGGATAATAAACGTCAATATTTTGAAAATCGACAATAAATAGAAAAAACAACATCCAAAAGTACAATCGGAACTGCAATCGTCTGAATTTTGTTCTAAAAATGTTTTATGCGTAACATACAGAATGTAATCGTTGATGTTGAAATCTGACACTGCGTGCGGCTGGGCACGGTGATCAGACTCTCCTTTTTTGCTGGAACTGATCGAACTCTCTCGTCTGGTGTTTTTCCGTCCGGGAACGGGAGTGGCACTATCCTACACCAATGAGTAAATGAGCACCGTAGTTAGGGACACTATTGTGATATCTACTAATGGTTCCGACGCTCGAGTTAGTGTTCTGATCAAGAACAATAAATAAGTGGGGCCTCAACAAATGACCATGGGTATTTATAGCTTGTTGTTGGACCCGAATTAAACCGGTGACCCGTCTGGAACCCTTATGTATGGCCCTGTCAGGCTTATGTACAGGTGTCATTACTGTGTCCAAATGGAGGGTGGAGACAACTTCAAACAGGAGATCGCATACGGAACTTCGCCTTGCAGAGCGCCTATTGGTCCGGGGGCGTCAACGAATGAGAGAGAAGATCCCACGCCCTGTTCAGCCGCACTGGCAAACTCTGTTCGACAGCTCCTGGGTGTTCGGCAAAGTAATGCGCAGAACACTGATCATTAAACCGATGCCAATTAGACCACCAACACTAGTACTACATAACAAGAGAACCTTTGGTCTGTTGCTTGAGGTTGAGGGATCCACCTTTTTTTTTTTTTTTTGGGCTGAAGATTTAGAGTCGTGTTTTGAATTGATCCCGTTTTTTTTTTTACGTTTAAAAAAAAAAAATATTTTTAAAACGACGTTTGATGCAATAAAGACAAAAACAGAAATGAAAACGATTTTTTAGTTTAGTGTAAAATAAAAGAGAAATGAAAAATAATTTTTAATCATTTTTCATTTTTTATTTTCATTTTTTCTTCTCTCGAGCAGAGAGAAAGAAAGAGAGACATTAATAAATTTTTTTACATTAAAAATAATCTCTTAATAAAATTATCAAACGTATTTTCAAAAATAATTTCTGTCTGAGATTGAAAACGTTTTCATTTTCATTTTCATACAAAAAATAAAATCATTTTAAAATAAATTCTAAACACGCCTAGATTCACTCTACACTCCAATTCCTCTTCGTATTAACATTCTATTTTAGATTCCGGAATCACCTCTAACATGGGAGAAAAATATATTAGCAACCGCTTTAAAATACCAGGCCAAAAAAATAAATATAAATAAAAATGCAACCAAAAAAAAAAAAGAAAAGATGCATGTGAGTGCGTGCTATGAATAGTACATCACTCGTACTCCCACAAATAGTTGCACAATCAAATAGACAGACATGCACGTTCTTGCGAGTAGCTTTATAAAAGAGGGAAAGAAAAATACATCTCCACTTTTCGTACTAAAATTTAGCACAACCAAGCAACCATTTTCCGGACCCTTTTGGGTATCTCTATGAGTTTATGTACATAAAATCAGCCAAAAATACAACGTGCTGCATCATCATCATCATCATCATCCATCTTGCGCTTCACAGGTGAAGTCCTTTCTTCTTGTGGATTTCCTTGTTTTGTGATCTTATCTTCGCGTCTTTTTTTAAGGCCAACTTACACACCTAAACTCGGAATGGAAAAGCAGAGTGGTCTAGTGATATGCCACATTTCCATCAGTCTCACCCTTCAAATATTTACTTGCAGCACCAAACTTCCAAACAAAATCATCGTGGAACTTTAAACACCTATACAGGAATTACATCAGCATTCTGATTATCATCACACGTCAAGATAAGACCTTCGACGTAGGTAGGGAGGAGGCATCGGGACCATTGGCAGCCTGTCGAGACTGGCTCTGCTGAAGGAACTATCATTAGAACATTATCATGGCGTCGGACAACCCCCGTCACGCTTACGGTGCTCCCTTCTTTGATATATCTGACAAACAAGACAAACATCATTAGAAGGTTTCAGTTGTAGATATCATAATTCATACTCATAAAATAAAACACACCACTTTCTGATTTTGGGGGAATGATCGTTGAACATGCTTGGGAGAAGGTAACAAAATTACATAAAAGTTGAAATACCCTTCTTTAAGGCGCATTATACGGTCGTCACAAGAGAGCTTGCGGTCTGCTAGCCAGCCTAAAAAGCTTGGAGATAACTCTCGGTTTTCCTTTGTTATATCCACCACAGTAGCTGGTTTAACGAATGGTGCAACCTTAGCTCCATAGCCAACTTTCACTAAAGCTCTCAATCCAGATTGGAAGTCGGATATGTAAAAATCAGCGACGTATCTCTGTCCATAAGAGAGAACAAAATGTTGTCTATGAACATGGTCATATAATTGTTATCTCAGCATTTGCCTGTAGATAAACCATGATTAGTGCAGTGCATGGCTATTAAAATAGGTATACCAGTTGCCAAGAATACCAGTGTGTCTGATTGATGTTAATTTTTCCAATGAAACCCATTTATAGATCATTTATTTACATGACGGATTAGAAAATTCTTCGGTGAACCTTCAGGTTCTTTAATGGCATAGGATAGTTCTCCATATCGAATTAAAAAACTCGGTCAAGGTCAACATATTACTTAAACAGACGGCCAAATTCCAACCAAATATGAAAATAAAATGTCACCCAAATCACCACTCGACCCTACTTTTAACAATAGCTAATAAATCTCCATCCAGATTCTTCTACCAGCTACTAGTAGGAGAAACAAAAGGATGCTTTAAAAACACATTACACAGGCAATTATTTCCATGTGATATAAGATTCAATTCCTAAAATTTAACGCTTGCTTTATGGTTCTAAAAATGATAGTGCATTCACAAAAAGTTTTGGCTATTACCTCAGAATCTACGAAACATGGATAATAGTCTGTAAATATTATCCCAATACAAATTAGCATATTAATATCTTAATACAAGGTAAAAATTCATGTATACTTTTAGTACTATGAATAAAATTTTCATGAGTTGGTAATCTTGTGAACATTTTTCTATCCAAATGGTAACACTGCTTGCCTAAAAGTCCCCAGTTTTTAAAAAAATGATCAAGCAAGTAGTTTAACAACTTACCTCCGAATATCTAGATCCCCATGAAAAGCATCGGTGTCTAGGATTTGCGGACTTTCCACCCCATCCTTTATATTCATACAGCTCCGTGGAAACATATACACACCTAGGTACTCTTTGGTAGGACGATTCCAGAGGAATACTGCCACAGGTGACAACCTACAATAAGAGATACAAATGATACGTTACTTTAGTGAAATAATAAATAAACATACTAAAACATAGACGTGATACTTTATTTTAGTATAATCCAGTTCAAATACCAACTCTAATTAGAAACAAAGTAATTTCCCACGTTTCCTTTTTATATTGAAAAAATAATAATAATAAGTGGTTGATGTATGCTATAAAAGGATTATAGGCGAAATCCCAAATGGCTTTGGCATTTGATATTTCTGCCTAAATGTCATACTGAATCCCAAAAGTAGGAAAGGAGTCCTCGAAAATGCAACCACGTCAGTTTTGGAGAAGCCTCGATACAAGCCTCAAAGAAGTAAAAACTATTCTCTTCCTGTGAGATCTGGCTGGAAAATACAACCCAGATTTCCATTTTAAATCATCGCCGACCGACCATTTATTCCCAACATGAATAAAAAGTAAAAACTTTTACTATTTTTCCTTGTTTTGGATTTAGACGACACATGGTGAGATTCAGATTACATCAACACGTAACCTCATATTAATTCAAAGAACAATTATTAGTTAAAGATACAAATGAGGGCCTCCCATGTCCTAGGAATAGTATCAATATTTCAATCCACAAATAACCCTCTTAATCAAGCCCCACAAACCCCCCAAAAAGGACAAAATCCCCCTCTTCGGTTCGATTTAGCATTCATTAGATTACATGATTACAAGAATGAGATATTGAAAACAACTCAAATCTGTTTAACAAATCTATTAGGATATTACGATGGAATCTGGAAAAAGCGGTACACTAATATAAGCAAGTATCTCAATACTAAATGCAATATATAACTAATGAATAAAAAAGAAACAAAATTTAATCTTCTCCTTCTCTTTTTTTTTTTTTTTTTTTTTTGCATTTTCAATAAATAATTAGAAAAATCAACTAAAATCTCAGAATATTGTAAACATCATGCGTATATATATATATATATATATATGTATGTATGTATGATGTATAACTAAAATTCTAAAATAGAAAAGGAAAAACGAGTAATTACCCCAGTGACCTTGACGTACTGTCCATCAATAGCACCTCTAAGCTCCGCATCAGGGTATCTCTTGACAAACCCAAGCAAGCCTCTCTTTCCCCAGAAGTAATTCCAAAACACGACCGCCAGAATCGGGACCAGAACCCCCGCCACCGACACCAGAATCACCGCCTTCTTCACCGCCACCATGAGGAACGCCCCGACCAGAAGCCCCATCGCCGCCACCACCAAGAAAACCCACACCACCGCCTTCGAAACCCTAAACCCCACCTTCACCTCCTCGCTCAAGCTCGTCACCGCCGAGCCGTAAACCGCCTTCCCGGTCGACCCGGAGTTCTCCATCTGAGACGCCGACGCCGACGCCGACCTCCGTCCACCGGAGGAGGATCCGAGAGGGCCTGAGCCGAGCGGGCCCGAGGTGATCAGGCCGGTGGGCTGGAGCGGCACCATGGGGCCGGAGAGTTTCTTGGGAATGGGGCCGGAGCCCGAGTGCTTGCTGATTGGGCCGGAGTTGGGCCCGGATCGGACGGATCCGCTGTTGTGCTGCGAAGATGAGGAGGTCCGCGAGGTCTTGATCATGGAGGGATCAATGTCCGGGATGTTGAACATTTTCCCGAGCTCTCCGGATTTCTTGATGTCGCCGCCGGTGTACGGCACGGCGCGCGACGCCATTGTCGGCTGCCGCTCCTTCTGCTGCTGCTCCGGCCTCCCCGAGACGTAGAGCCCGCTGCTGAGCTGGTGAGACGGGATTCGCGTCCCCATTTCTCAGTTAGAGAGAGAAAGTGAGGGGAGAGAGAGAGAGAGAGGAGAGAGTAGTTTCTGAGTGTGTCTCTCCGTGTGTCCCAGTGTGTGTAGGTGAAGAAGGTGAATGGTGATGAGAAAATGGATAGTGAAATGACGGAAATGGGTCTAGAGTTTTGTTTAATTGACGTTTATGTCCCCGTTTCTTTTCTTTAAATGGCGGTACAGAAGCTGCTTGCCTGTTAGAGCCTCAATTGAGAGTTGAGATAGCAACTGATTCGTTGTTTTGGAGGCTGATGAGTGGAGTGATGATGTTATGTGCCTGTGAAATTACCTTTCTAGCCCTGGAGCTTAAAACTCAGTCGGTACGACATTAATCAAACACACGGGACACACTCTAATTGTAGTGGAAAATTGAGGAAGTCAAAAGTCAAACTATGAAAACGTAGGTGAATTACGACGTTGGAATTTTTGAAAGTAACTAGGTGGTCTAATCTCATTCACGATGATGAAAGACACTTACGAGGATTGAAGAATGGAAATGGAAAATGAGAGTTAATCTCATGTTTATTTGTTTTTTTTTATCTTGAAATGAGAGTGAAATTGATGGGCCCCACTCAAATTTGAGATTGAAGAATGGGATTGACACTCCCATGCCCCCTTTAGAATTGAGACTCTCATTCCTAATATTAATATTAATTTACTATTATACTCTTATTTTACTTATAAATACACAATTCAAAATAAAATTCAAAAAATAATAAATGTAACATATATTTATTATTTTATTTGCCTAATATTATAATATTAGCATAATTATTGTTAACTTTAATATAATATAATATGTACTTTATTTTTAATAAATTAATAATATATTTTATTTTTTAACACTATTTTTTTTATATTTTAAATAGTTGTACAATTTATATTTATTATTTTATTACTCAATTATTACACAAAATATTTTAATTATGATTATTTTTAATATAATAAGTACACTATATTTTTTAAATTGAAAATATCAAATTGATTTAAAGGGTATATTAGTACTTTTATACTTTTTCATTCCGATTCTGGGTGTAAGTAAACGTATGAATGAGATTTAGAATGACCCCGATTCCGAATCCTATCACTAAGTAAACAGCTTATTTTGACTTCGATTCCTCACTCTGAATCCTACCCACTCTGAATCCTGCCCATTACGATTCATGCTCATTCCGATTATGTGTAGGTAAACATACCATTAAGCCAACATTTTATTGTCTAAAGGTGCGATTATTAAACGATAAAGAGATGCAAGGAGGATTATAGAGCTATAAATTCGGATCATCAATGGTAAAATCGGCTCAATTTTTTAAGGATGAATCGCCTTACACTAACTTAAAAAAAGATTGACTAACTCAATCTAAAAACTTAACGGATCAATGTTAGGTCGGATCGATACAAAACATAATAAAATTTAAGAAAAAATAAATAATACCTCTTTGATGTTTAATCTACAAATATTAGTTAAATGATTTTTAATTAAATAATTATATAAGCTAAAAATATATTAATTAAGAGTAATGAGTAAAATTTCAGACTCATACACTTTAAAAGTAAGTTCAGAAATTTTCGTTAAAATTTATATTTATATTGAGACACACATAAAAGTTACTCATCCCAAATAGATTTTGGGGTCTGATCATGGGCCAAGCCAGTCCAACTTTTTTTTTTTTTTTTGGTTACAAGTTCATTTGAGTTTTTACATTTTTAAATTGTATTTGTTAGATTCATTCTACTAAATATAGGTTTGTTATCCCACTATAAATCTAAAAAGTTTTAACCTTTTAATTTCCAAAAAATAAACCAATACAAAAAAAAATTTGTAATAAAGTATGGAAAAAAATTTCAACTTCTAACTTTTTATCGGGGAATTTCTACGATAAATCATGAAAAATGAACTATCAACAAGTCTCTTTTTTAGTTGTTAAATTTGTATCAAAAACGGTTTATTTTAAATATTTTTTATTTTAATGTATCATATTCAACAGTTAGAAATGGACTCTACCGAAAAGGATTATTTTTATTATTATTATTATTATTATTATTATTATTATTATTAAATTGTATTGAGGCTTTATACATTCTTAAAAAATGATTTGAATGTCATTAACAGCCCAAAATTACACATTACTGATACTTATATATATATATATATATTTTGCTTGTGTGCAGATAACATTTTATTAATATTAATTTCTTCGAAGAATGTATGGTCTTTTTTTTAAGTGAAGGAATATCAGTTAAAAGGTTATTATTGGCTTCTCCTTATATTTGGGGGTGAAAAAAGAAGAAAAAAGTGGTGAGGGTAATGATGGAAATTGGCTACATAAACCGGTCGGTGGCGAAGCATAACCTTTTTCAGAGCAATGGTGCATAAGGACGAATATATCCTTGTCAGAAAGAGAAAACATAAAAACAAAAACAGTTCGAAATTGTTGATGCACTGATACGCCGGGGCGCGTGTGAATCAAATGCGTTTTTTTTCTCAAAGATGGTTTAATTCCCGTTGTTTATAACAATTTTCTTTCTAATTTATTATTATGCTGATATTTTATTGTAGACATTATTTAAAGTTTAACTCTCATTATGAGTTCTTTCGTTATTTCCTGAATCATCAGCCAGCCAGTGTATAAGATCTATTTAGTTTATGGATTAGAATTGTGAGATTAAAATTATTTTTAATTTACATATATTTTTTATAAGAAAAAATATCGTAATAAATTATAAATCATAATTCAAATCAGAGAACGAATTCTCTAATTAAACGGCTATACATAACGCTCAATTTTTTTATTTAAAAAATAAAACGCTCAATTTCGAATTTGGATTCCAAAAGAAACTTTCATGATTTTCTTTTCCTTTTTTTCTTCAGAAAATGATTTTCTATTGCACTGAAATATCATCACTTCAATTTATACGACAAAAAGAAAAAGTTCTGCTCACCAAAACAATGGGAATTTTTCTGATGTTTTTCTTTAAAAAAAAGATATGGGTATTTTTTGTTAATCAATTGTCAAAATTGTATTATTTTTTTAATTTAATTTTTAATTAAATTTAATGCACATCTAACGATTAATAAATAAACAACACTAATATTTTAAAAATAAAGCACCAAAAAAGATCCCAAAAATAATAATAATAAATAGTGAAAATCACTATTCCTATATAAAATATCCTGACATATAAGTTTTCCCAGTTTTTTTTTTTTTTTTTTTTTTTTTCAAGCTGGAAAACACGAAACTTTAGTTAAAATATACACAGTGCCGCTTAATAAAAACGATATGTAGATTAGGGGTGGCAATTCGGGTTGACGGGTTGTGTTCGTGTCGTGTTGACTCCTTCAGTTGACACGAATAGGTCTGATACGAACACGACCTGTTTATTAATCGTGTCGAAATACAAAACCCAAACACAACCCGTTTATTGACGGGTTGACACGACACGACACGAATAACCTGTTTATTAAATAGGTCATAAATGTGTCGTGTCAACCCATTGATTACCTGTCAACCCGTTTATAAAATGAGTGAAAAATTGGTCGTGTTAACCTATTTATGAACTTATTTTTAAACATGTATATAAAATAAGTGGTAAATGGGTCGTGTTAACCTATTTTTTAACATGTTTATAAAATGGGTAATAAACGGGTTGTGTATTCATGTTACCGAAATATAACACGTTTAATAAACGGGTTATGGCGGGTCAATTGCGGGTTGGCGGGAAAATGACACGTTATTTAATCGTGTTTCACGGATTCGACCTGATTTGACCCGTACTTATTTATGATAAACCCAAACCCGTTAATTTCGTGCGAGTTTCAAGTCGTGTCGTCGTGTCGCTACCCGGATTACCAGTCCTAATATAGATATGTTGTCTCTCTTATTGCAGAAATTCAAATTAGACATATGTTGCCATGAATCGTTTGATGTGAGAAATTCTAATCCCATTCAATATTATTTGGTCATTTCTTAAAGTTATCGGGGTCGGATAATTGCTATCATTTGTTTGCTTCCCTTCTTTCGGAAAAATATATCATGTTAATTATCAAGTTTGGTTATTTTTAGGGCCCGTTTAGTTCACTAATTTGAATTTTTAATTCGAGTTAATATGTGATTTTATGTGAAATTTTTTTACTGTAATAAAAAATTATATGTGATTATTTTTTAAAGTTTTTTACTATAATAAAACTCGAATTGATAAAATAATTGAGACCTTAATACGCTAACAGTGAGAGTTTATCTGGACTAATTTCCACCAACACCAAAAAGAGAGAGAAAGAAGAATTGTGAATCAATGTAAAGAATTACATATTGTTAGAAAATCTTTTAAAAAATATAATTAATGTTAATAATGAGTAGATTATAACAAAAAATAATAATGGGTGGATGGGCCACAAATTAGGTAAAATGTAGGCGTGGCAAATATGGGTCATGGATATGAATCTGTTTAGATTGAAAGGAACAGTAAATTGAAAATAACATTGATATGAATCTGTTTAGATTGAAAGGAACACTAAATTGAAAATAACATGGATATGAACAGATTCATATGAGTGATGGATATGAATCTGTTTTGTCATGAATCTATTAGCCAATTGAAAATAACATAATTACCAATTTAGAAGTTTTGTAATTGCTAATTACCCCCATAATGGGATTAGCAAAAAAAAAAAAAAAAAAGAAGCCCCATAATGGAAACAGCCCTGACTTGCTTAATCATTACTTATTAGTCAATCTGAAAGAGTAGTAGTGACCGGAGACTCCATTAATTCACTTTCAAAACACGTTGGATGCGTTTAGAATTAATTTTAAAATAATTTTATTTTTAATAAAAAGTAAAAATAAAATTATTTTAAGAATTATTTTGAGATTGATTTTAAAATTACGTTTAATTAATTTTTTAAAATATTATTTTAAGTATAATAAAAAAGTAAAATCGTATTTATTAATTAATATATTATAATATTATTGATAAGAATTAAAAAATAAAAACAGAAAAGTAAAAATAATTTTTAACTGTTTTTTAATTCCTTCACAAAAATTACTATCACTGTTTTTATTTTTAAAATATTTGACTAAATAAGCGTCGTTTCGTTTTCATTTTCATTTTTTACTTCTCAAAATACGTAAAAATTATTTTTAAAAACAGTTCCAAACACGCAAGTTAATTCCC